TTCCCCAAGTCGAGTCTGTTTTGCCCGTGATGGTAATTGCTGAGTGATCTCCCTGTCCCTATCTCGACCCATGAGCTTTTCGCTATATTTTCTCTCCCCGGCCCAGCTGAGGAGGGCAGTGATAGAGCGGCTTTGGTGGGCACTTGGCATCCAGCCAGGGTCAACCCACCACAATACCACCCCTCTCCTCCTCCCACAGTCCCTGTCCTGGTGACAAGATGATGAAGCATCCCCCTTGGAGACTACTGGGACTGATATGACATTAGCAAAGTAAACAGGTTCTTCACTGACAGTTTTCAGTGTGCACCATCATGTCCCCAAATCAACTTATTTTGTTTATAAAATAGAATATAAAATAATATGTCCTTTATATATAATTTTTTTTTTGAGAATATTTCATCAATTTTCATTTAGCAGAAAGACAATAATTTTCCATCATGTCCCCAAATCAACTTATTTTGCTTATAAAATAGAATATAAAATAATATGTCCTTTATATATAATTTTTTTTTGAGAATATTTCATCAATTTTCATTTAGCGGAAAGATAATAATTTTTTACTCATTTTGATACAAACATCACAATTCTATATGGTTAGACATTCTCTTCAAACTGCAAGCATAGTACAAATATGCATTTATCTGATTTTGTGAACTAGTTAGATCTAGTTAACGTGTTGAAGACATTTAGTAAATTATTGTTCCAACATTTTTACTTTAAACTGTAAGGAGAAAGGAAGTGCATTTTTATGATAACATTTAATATTTTTCCAAATTCCTATTAATTTGGCTTACTTGAAAGTGTTCATTATTATACCCAAACTTTTAATTACACATCTCAGATGTGTACTTTTAATTAACTGATGACATTTTCTTTGTTCAATTATTGTAGTTCAATACAACTGTCATAAACTTATAAATTTTAATTAAAGCTGCCCCAGACTCTAGCTATATAATGTTCACATAGGAATTTGCCAAAAGGCTTAGTAGTAAGTAAACCAACAGCGAATAATCCCTGAATTGCCAGTGGGATTTGTTTAACAAATTAACATTTGTGTGCAGATAATGAGGTTCTACAACTTAACACATCCAGCAAAGAATTAGCACAATCATGTTTTAAAAAATGAGTAATACTCTGCAATTTACTTAATTAGTTATCACGTTACTATTATATATTAGGTGGTGAAGGAGGACAGGATTTACACATTCACTAGAACACACACATTCACTAGAAGAGTATTTCATGTGCTGCGTCATTTTATTTATGTCAGAATATGATGAAAGGTTTGCTTGCAGGTATCTCTTCCTCGGTTTTTAAGCCAGAAGCCAACAGTAAGGAAATTCCCAGACTCCTAGGGAAGCCTCCCAGCAGCAGGGACCCTGCAGAAGCTCATCTCCCTGTGAGGCTAAATTTACTGGTGGTCCCTAAGCTTTCCAAAGGGCATGCATGTAGAATGACACTTGTTAGAATGACTGCATCAAAGCTGTTTCAGTTGGATAATGCATGAAAACCAATAAGGGCAATCAGAGCTTCTGAGAAAGACAGAGTCAAGCAAGCTGAAATTATCACAGGTCATTTATATTTTGTGGATAGGATTTGGATTGACATTCTGACACATATGGCTTCTGCAACTTCCAGAGGAAAAAGCTTCATAATTTTGAACAAAAATACATTTTTTTTTTTTTTTTAAAAGAGGAAATTGGGAAAATACGTGCAACTTGATTGCATCAGTTTAGCAGGACAGTTTGATGAGCCAATTGTAAAATGGATCAAAAGTATAAATGCTGCTTTTTGAGGAAATGCTTGTGAGCATTGTAATACAGGAGGTGGTATGCACAGACAGCAATAGCACAGTAGGAGAAATTAAGATGATATCAAGCTGACTTTATTTTAAAATAGTAATTTTATACTTTCCAGAAATGTGAGAGGATTCTCTACCAAAAAAAAAAAAAAAAAAAAGTGTGCAATGTACTTATTGCTAGGGGACAGGTCAACCTGTTAGGACGTAATATTTTAAATCGAGACATACTATAATGCTTAAGTTTTACAACCATTAAGGAAAAACAGAGCAATTCCTGGTAATAAAGAACCTTTATATTCCTGCATGTTGCAATGTGCAAGAATAAAGTAACACATGCCCTAAAGACTCTCCTCTGAACATGACAAAGCAGATCAACTCTGCCTTGAAGGCTGAGACAACGAGAAGGAAGTGAGTGAATGCAGCTCTGCTCTGGATTTCATGTCCTCAGTCCAAACCAGGAATGGTGTGTGCAGCCCCTGAAGCTAAATGTGCACTCACTGGTGCAATGACTGAACCACGTGCTTTACACAGTGCTATATTTGACTGGAAAGAGGAAATGCTTGTTGCAAAAACACCTGAGGAATTAAGCTTTGTTGACTTAATTACAGTTTTCAATGTTTTTGGGGCCTCCAGTTTAGCTCCCCTCTGTAAGGTACATAATGGCTTTAGTATGTGATGGATTAGATTGAACTAGGATAAGGGGACATCTCACTGACATGCAGGTTTGTTTCAGTAGCACAGAATTTATGGCCTGATATAGATAAGAAATAAAGTCTGATAAGAAATAGAGATTTACAGGGTCCAGGGGCGAGGCATGCATGGAAGATGAGATGCGGATCAATTCGAAAATTTTATCTGGAATGCTGGATGGAGTCACTTTGATTTAGAAAGATATACAGTCACTTCTCCACATCTCCAGCAAATGAAAATTATGGCACAGGCTTCAAGGCATGGCTACCCTCATGAATTGGAAATGGCAGATAGGAAATCTGGTTAACTTTAAATATGATTATTAAAAATTCAATGAACCTTGGAAAGCGGACACAGCACAGCAGAAGAATTTTCCTATTAGCAGGTATGCCCAGTAAGAGTTATCAGAACCAGCTCTATGTTGGTCTTTACTCATAAAGGCTTGGCACATGTTGGCCAGGTGTGGTACAGGAAACTTTAGCTGCAGTTAAAGGTCCGGATTCCCAAAAATCAGGCAATTGAACAATGAAATGTGGACTGTGGTGACATCCACACTGGCTCTCCTGATGCATTTTTGTGCAGGCACATTATCCTGTTGGAGACCAAGGAGAAATAAAGCTAATGCTTGCATCTCCAGGCCCTCTGTAGTAGCAGGGGCCATGATTAACAATTTAGCAGAAGCATATTGTAGAATGTGCTCATATCTCTCCTTTACTCACTGGTGACCAAACTTACTACACTAATTATTTCAGCAAGGCTGAGAGATTTCAGAGGCTGGATTTAGCAGGGGAAAAAAAAAAAAAAATCTCCTGGCAATAGCATAGCTGTGTGAGCACAGCAAGCGTTAGCTGCCTGGCAAGGAAAACACAAGCTGCTGGAGGTGAGTGAGCCCTATGGCTACTGCCAGAAGAAAAGGATTAAAATAAAACCCTGGGGTCTCTACAGGATTCAGAACTGAACTGAGCTCTAGGAGTCGAGTTATTAATTTTATGGAGCCTTTTAACCCCACAAAAGTATCAATTAAATGCCAGACATGTAAAGATGTGGGAGTAAACATCCTCTCTTCAGATGACATGGAAGTTTTATATGTCATTTAAAACACCTGTGACTTGCTTTCATTCACTTGCATGTCCTCACTAAACACGTATGGATCTCACTACACTGAGAAAAATCTGTTTATCATTTGTGTCAGCAGTTCCATCAGCTGTTAGAAGTAGTTTCAAGTATAATTAATCAACTTCAAGTTCAAATATTCTCATTTTTTAATATTTAGTCATTATTAGTGATGTTAACTATGGATACCATTATTAACCCTCAAGTACTCAGAACCAAAAAGTCCTCTGTTGGGCATACAACAAATTGCTAGATTTGCATTCACTTGGATTTTTGCCACCACATCTCAGTAAAGAAGAGGAGGTTCCAGAGAACCCAGCATAGTAAGTGAAGCTAAATGACTAAACTATGTAAGCTAAAGTTAATTAGTAAGAAGTGCTGAGGAAAACATGGAGATCTAAGCCCTGTCTGTCACAGAGACTAAGATACATAATTCGGCATTACAGGGAGCTCTCTCTGTGTTAAACACTCAGAAACTCCTCTTCAAAAGTCAGGTACTGTACTTTTCTTTCAGAGACCAGGGTCTTGGTCATTTCATCACATAGGAGAAAATGATTCACACCATCTTCAGCGCCTGATGGTCTTCTGAGAAGAGACGAGACAGCAAACTCTTCTCCAGCTGTTCTACTTTGAATCAAATATTTAAATATTCCTTGGAGCAGAAAACAGAATTCAAGTTCTCCTTTCTCACATAATTATTAAGTTTTAGAGTACTTCTTATCACACCTTCCCTCTCTAGCCCAAACACTAACTGCGTTATACAGGCTACACCAGCCTACATGTTAGGGACAAAGATCAACTGCCATATACCTGTGTTTTGACACATAGGATAATCTCCCTGAAGATAAGAGATGTGATTTCAAATTCCTTGAAGAAAACAAAGGATCTGAACTCTGATCAATCATATCTTCCTGAGAATTAGATGAGTAAAATGCCTATTTTGTGAATTCCAGCAAGACAAAGGTAAAAGATTGAGGTCACACAACTCTGTAATTTAAGGAAATATCTCTATGTATGCACCTAAAAATTTAGAGGGAGAACTGAGATACAGAGAGTGCAAGATGTGTGGGGTTCTTCCAGATGTAGTTTGACTGGACCCTAGGCTTTACAATTCCATTTCTACACCTCGGCATGTGCGTCTATACGGAATACTCACTTCCATGCTCCCTTTTGTGGGATGCAGCTTAGTTCTGCTAAAACACAGAGATACATGAATGAAAAGCACTATTGATTATAAAGTATGTGTATGCTACATAAAGCTATATTGCACATAGTTTAAGTATGGACAAAGCAAATAAGTAACAAAGAGAAAAAATTATCACAAACAAGGAATAAATTAAAACTTTTACATTAAGGCAGGTATAATAGTAAGATACAGCTACTCAGAAATATTTACCAAGCAGAGAGGCTCCACAGGTTCCTCCATTCTGGCAGTAATTGTAGCAATGGTTGGTTTCACACCTTTCACCAGAGTAACTTGGCCAGCAGTGACATCGTGGATCCCCCTTCTCATTTATAATGCACTTTCCTCCATTTTCACACGTTAATTTACAGGTATCGTCTGCAGCAAGAGCACACACACAGAGTAGTTTTCAACAGTCATGTATAACAGTTCATGTCACTGGCAAAACAGAACCTTGCATCTTAAATAGAGCTACAGATCCCTCTCAATGAAGAGGAAAAAAAAATCACTTTTCAGAATAGCAAAAGTAAACTATCACTTCTGTTTCCATAGTTCTAGAAAAAACATACACACTTTGGAGACCATGAGCCCTCACGGAGAGCTGCACTAGCCTGTGCAGCGGGGCTCTGAGCTTGTACCGTACCGAGCTGGGGGCCGTACTCGGCAGTTAGGCTTCATCCAAATGATGCCACAGGAAAGGTGACCTCCTTAGGATGTAAGTTAGTAATGACAGTATGGGCTCTTGCTTGAAACTATCATTCCTAGTTAGTTTATGAAATGAAAAAATGAAAGTTGGTTTCACCTGGGGGATCTCAGAAAACTTCCCAGTCATTTTCTGGTGACCTCAGCCTTTTCCTATTTGACTTTTTGGATCTCTCTTCCAGTCTCTATTAACTAACAACGTCCTTAACGAAACCCTATCCAAAATATTGAAAAGAAGATTATTCAGCCTTTAAATCCTCATCAAAAATTCACGCTTGCATACTAACTTGTTACTCCTAAACCATATTTTCTGATTTATACTTTTCCGCATCTGCTCAGTCTGTAAAATCACTGAGAAGAGATGCTGCCTGCTGCTCTGCATTCACCGACTGCTTACAGCAGTAGTGCCACCATCCTAGTGGTGAGGTACGAGGTGACACAAATTCCGATTAGGCCAGATTCAATTTTTCTATAAAGCTGTTTTGCAATTAGAGTTGTGCCTCTCTTGGAAACACTTTGAAAAATAAATCTCTATTCAATTCAGTGAACAAGATATAAAATCATTCAATGACACCAACAAGAAATTAATTGTAGACTAGCACGTATACAATGCTCAAACATCCAAATAACTGTAATCCTAAAGAAACAGACAAGCACCTCTCCGGCCCACAGCATGCTTTCAGCAATAAGACCCTTCATTTCTCACATAGCAAAAAAAATTCTGTGAAGCTAGACCGCTGCCTAACTAATCCAGCATTTGAACCTACATCATGGCTTTTAACAAGAGGATACCACAAACACTGAGAACTCTTCAGTAATACATCCACCAGGTGCAGATGTTTTGCTGAATTAATCTGTTTTAGTTAAACAACTAATGAAAAAGAGTCAAGGTTCCCTTTTGTCCTGTTGAGGTCTAACATTGACTGACACGGGCACAGCAACTCCTTTTTTTGACGTTTAAAGAAATACGCTGCATTGTAAGTGCAGAATTTAGGAATGACAGATATCCTCTAGCTGAATATTTCTCTCCAGCACAGACTCTGCAAAGTTCAGTAATATAACTGTGCTTATGCAGCAGCCTTTTCTTTGCATGCACCCAAGTCTCTCTTTCCTGCTCATGTACGCCCCTCGTCAGCAGGGTCTGGCCTCCTCCGTTCACAGCCAGTGCTGAGATCATAGAATCACAGAATGGTTTGGGTGGGCAGGGCCCTTCAGAGCCCACCCAGCCCAGCCCCTGCAGTGCCAGGGACAGCTTTAACCAGAGCAGGGTGCTCAGAGCCCCGTCCAGCCTGGCCTGGGATGGTGCCAGGGGGGGCCCCCCCCCCGCCTCTCTGGGCAACCTGGGCCACTGCCTCACCACCCTCACTGTAAAACATTTCTTCCTTATATCCAGTCTAAATCTCCTCTTCTTTAGTTTAAACCCATCACCCCTTGTCCTGTCCCAACAGGCCTTGCTGAAAGCTTGCCCCCCCCTTCCTGCAGCCCCTCTCAGCACTGCCAGGCCGCACTCAGGCCTCCCCGCAGCCCCCTCCTCTCCAGGCTGAGCACCCCCAGCTCCCCCAGCCTGGCCCCGCAGCAGAGGGGCTCCGGCCCTCGGGGCATTTCTGTGGCCTCCTCTGGCCCCGCTCCAGCAGCTCCATGTCCTGGTTTCCTAGGATGGCACAGACACGTAGCCTGGGATCAAACCTATTTAAACAAAACTTCTGGGAACTGATCATCTTTCAGGCAATTGCACCTATCTCAGATTAAGCTAAAACTAGGCAACAAATCTGAAAGCTACTGGGGGACTGACTGGCACATCATTATTTCAGGTGTTTACAATAAAAATATGAAATACCACATGCTCTTAATTTTTTGGTATCCACCCTGGATATATACATCTGCTGTAACAAAGCTACTTTGTATTTGGGAGTTTGAGGATGCCTCAGTGTTTTATTTATTTGGGTGGTTCATTAAATCCTTTGATGTTCCATGAACCATTCTTCAGATACTCATTATCGAAGTTGTTTAAATGGATAATGTAGCGTATCTTATTGGAGAGAAGGTCTATTTTTGTTTTGCTTATCTTATCTGTTTTACTTATCATTAGTCATGAGTTTATAGAGCAGAACTTGGTAAAAATGGAATAAGTAACACTGAAGTACAGACAAGTGCTCATTTTTATGAACCTTTCTGATAGCACATTAAAAACATGTTATATGTATCTTCTAGAGCAATTTGCAGAATTAAGATATAAAATTTGGGGAAAAAAAAAGGAAATTAAGACAGACTATGAATTCAAGAGAAAAATAGAGTATCAAAAGGCATATTTAGAACTATAAAACATGAACTACAAACTTGAAAGTTGCCCTAATCACACCAAGAAATACATGCCTTCATATTTGCAGGAAAATATACTGAGACAAAAATTGCCCATGGTAAAGACACTCATGTCTTACACTTTTAAAATGCAATATATGTTATAACTTAATGCAATGGTCAACTGAGAAGTTTCCTGAAAAAACATAAAAGTCTGTAGTATTTTGTATCATCACAAGATTATTAAAATTTGCTACTGATTTTGTTCTCTGTAAAACATTTTAAATTCAAGAGTTTCAACACAAATCTAACATGAAACAGAGAAAAGTTACTACAGCAATTCTGGATGTTAAATAAGCTAAGAAATAGGATTGAAAGATGTAATGGATAAGCCAGTTTTAAAATACTATGTTAGACTTTAACAATATAGGGGTTTTAATGCTTCTGCTTTGTTGTCTGAAGGTAAATACAAGAATCAAATTACTCTTGCTGATTCACATCAACTGAGTACAAAAGGGGATCAGACGCCTTTGTGTGGGAGACAGGAGCAGAATGGTCTCGTAGGACAAGACAGGAAGAAAATCCAGGAGAGAAACACAGAAGAATTGTTATAAGCAGCTGAATACTCTTTATTTTAATTACTGAATAAAGACCTCTGAAAGAAGAGCTGGGAAGAGGTCTAGTAAGTACCCACTATTGGAACAAACAAAGATTAAAAAAATAAAACAACAAAAAAAACCCCAGAGAAGTTTCTGCTGGAGTCAATGCAATACTGGTCTGAGCTTGCTGGAACTCAGACTTTAAGACCTCTCAGCTGCTCTTTTCACTTCTGAACTGCAAGAATTAAATAATTTCACTTGTTATATTGCTCCTAGTCTAGCTACTGGATCTGTCTAACATGAAAGAAAGGAAAGGGTTACAGGTCATGTAATTTTATATATTCTCTCGTAGCCTGGTTATTTAGTTTTCTTCTGCCTTGAGTTGGCTATTTCAATCTTAATATGTCTTTAATAAAGAATCAAATAACTTTGATTTGCAGTTTTGCTTATGTTTTCCTTCCTGATATGACTGTTTGACACAACCATTAATGGACTTATGGCTTATTTGCTCCAACTTTGACTCTTTCCTTTAACTGAAAGTAAAAGGAAAATCTTACACAGAAGAAATTGAAAAAGCAGCAAAACAACTTGTTGTTGAACTCTACTGGTATTTTTTCCTTCACTCGTTCAATTTTTTGATATTCCATCCCTCTCCCCCAATCACACACACACACATATTTTCTTGGCATTTCTATAACAACCCTTTCTTTCTTGAGAAAAATGCATCTTTCTTTTTGCTGTTTTTTTCCCTTTGAAATACCCACTGATTTCCAGACTAGGCTGTTAAATGGAGACATGATGCTATAGAGCACAGGGTTAATGAACTACATGCTTTGGGACAAGAACAATTTCCCTCCCCACAGTGGAAAACACTCATCTCATGGGGCAGAAAGGTATTTGTTCTTGCTTATCCTTCAGGCAAGGGTGTAGCTCATCCTTCACTGAGCTGAATGTACCTATTAAAGACAGAGTGCAGAGTTCTAATGTTATGGTAAGGTTCCATAAATCTTCCTGTCCCTCCAGATGAGGGTCTTACTATCTGCCGGTTTTGCATAAGCTGAAATTTATCAAAATAAGTTGTAATCCCCAAATTCTGTCTGAATGCTGTAAGACAGATCCTCCTCTTTGTTTTCCCTTCACATTTTTTTTGCTTTTAAAAATCTGTTTGCTTTACAATTTTAAATGGAAGAGAAGGGCTAAGAAAAGGATGCACAGTGAGAAAAAACTAACTGGCACCTGCTGTGATGTAATGCATTTTCTTCTGTTCTGGTAAACACCAGTCCCAAGAGTAACCCCTTTGTAAATACAGAAGATACCGTTGTAAAAATTGTTTTTTTTTTTCAAACCAGAAGCAGATTTCTGTGTGAACCCTGTTCTATTTGATATCCAGAAAGACTGAAAGCAGGACAAAACCGAAGAAGATAGCATGGATTGAACTGCCATAGCTTTTGCTAGTACAGCTCCCTGAGGCAGACTTTGTGGGTGAGAAGGAAGGTATACAGGGATTAACCTCTACATCCCTGTGAGAGACTGAAAGAGTTAATGTATGTTGATGTCTCAGATGTTGTGGTGGTTGGTCGATGTCTCAAACATTGTGGCGAAAAAGTTAAGAACTGCATGGTGACACCGAACCACAAGTGGGAAGTCGGCTGGCACAGAGCACGGGGAGGCGTGTCGGAGGATGCGCAGTTCCGTATTTCTGATGTGCCTCGCAACTCACCACATATGGCCAGAGGCCATACAGAGTTCATTTGAGGAAGGGGCTCAGGACCACCTGAA